AAGTTGTCAATTTAACATAGTACATAGCGTTAGTGGCACAGTAAAGCACCAGTGGCTGGCCTGCCACTGTGGTATTGCTCGGCTGCTGACTGGAAAGTCGCCGGTTTCATCACAGTCATGGCAGTCCCATTTGAATCAACTTAAAATGCTAGAAACTTGTGTACTTCGATTTAAGTCAACATTGAAAAACACCATGTGGTTGGAATTTCTGAAGCCCTCTTCTACGGCATGCCTTATAATCAGTAGTAATTTTGGTTTGCGAAAACCCCAGAATTGAGCATCATCGTCTAGTTTATTCATTTTTCATTTTTTCATAGTCACAATTATGCCCACATATCATGGCAACATTTTGTGTTTTAACATGATAATGCCATAATATTTATGTATTTATGATGCAGACTAAAATGAGCACATTATGCTGTACTGAAATACATACAGAGCATGTTTAATTTATATACATAATCCTGAAGCATATGGGTGATTCCACGAGAGATCGACACGGGTTCAAAAGTTGATATTTTAGATTTCATTGAGTATTTTATATTTCATGCACCTCTCACCAGGTAGCCCGAAAGTCAACTTCGCTTTATGATTAACGGCATAACTTACGAGAAAAATAATATCAAACTTCACCAACACGGAGGCACCAATTTCGTCACCTGTCAATTTTGAAAATTGCAGTTGCTATAAAAAGACAAATATTTTTGTTTCAAGGAAGATATTTTTTACCTGAAATGTATGTATAATGAAGAATGAATTCATACGGTTTCAAGTTTGCAGACCTTAAGAAAATAGCTTTTAAAAATGTCTAATTTTGCGACAGTTTAAAATCATTTACGTATTCCCCATTTTTTTTCTCCGAAAGTAATGCAAGCAGCGTTTTCAAACTTTACACGTTTTAGGGATATAGTGTGTTCACTAGGTACATAAATTATTGCTGCCGTAGGGCAAATGTAAAAAATTTTTATATATTGCCTCAAAGTTCTCATATTGGCAAAAGTGTACTCCACTGAAATTTGAATAATAAAAAAACCCCATCTTCGATTTTTCTCAAAATCTCGTAAAAAGACAACCGAAGGCCATCATACAGTAATATAAAAAAACATGTTGCATTATATTGTTTTTAGCGACAATATTGGTGGTACAAATCGGAGCTTTTCGAGAATGTGCTGATAAGTTGAGAGATCTAGGAATCGGAACGAAATAGCGGCAATGAGCTTCAAACGCCAGTAAACGTGAACGCATTTGGTGAAGAAAGGCTGTTTTAGCACTGTGACAAATACGTACCCATGAAGGCGCATTTATGCTCCTGATAACACAGCTCTAATGGAGGCAATCTTCGACACTGTAACTCAGTTGCAAAACATCTGCCTATATTTGCAGATAAACTCAAACATGAAAATGTTCCAACGCAAGTGTTGGGTCTCTCTAGAAAAAGCACATGTGCTTGAAGTACCCTCACTGGTATTTTGGTGGTGACTGCGTGAAACAAGAGATGCGCTCAAAATGGCTGCATCTTTTGCAGATCACATTTAGCAGTACGTGACGCTAAGAAAACACGACCACGATCAGTGCCCTCAGATGTGCTTAGCCAAACATGCCAAGAACGTATGCCTGGAACACGTGGCAACGATTTCCACTGACTCTTCTTAAACTGATGGAATGTTTCTAGCTCGTCTGCATTTGCACACAGCAGCTCGACATTCTTGAGCTTTGCGCTCATTTGTGCCACCATTTGGGATGCTGACGTAATCACAGCTGAGCTTGCCGCTCTGAGGTTGTAGAGCGTAGCCTGATGCTTTAGTAGGCCACCAACGACGTCACAAGAGTTCTTGCCATGTCCTGTGGCCGAAAAAATCCACTTTGTTGATATACGATCTTTCTGACATAACTCGAACAACTTGTACTTGTTTTTGAAGTGACTGCATGCACCATCAGAAACATAAATAACATGCGTGTCAGGCTTAAGTTGTTCCTTCATATAGTTGTGGATTATTTGTAGAGCAAAACAGGCATGTGCAGCATCATGGCATGTGTCATCACTGATGACGGCAAAACTTTGAATTGATTGCTTTCTTGTGATGACACACGTGAATATAGACACCTGTCTTCTGTGCCAGTGATATGACTGTACCTCATTCGGTAAAATGGCTGTCGAATTTTCGGCGAAATCAAAGTGAAAATTGCAAGATTCTTTTTCTTGGTTCTCTTTCGCCTGGCGTATTGCTGATTCTTGAATGTATCTTATGTAATCATGGGTAATCCACTTCACGAACCATAGACTTAGCTCTCGTAGAAAAGCACTTGCCTTGGCTGTTTTTTTTACTAGATCGCCATTTTCCCATTCTGCATAGGCTACCTCAATATCTTCAGGGATTCCTAAACATGTGGCTGTCAGAGCGTCCTCCTTAGCACAATAGTCACAATGGCCTAAAAAACAATCACTTGTAGGGGAGTTGCAAAGACATAGTTCTTTCAAAAACTCCGCCGTGTATGCACCATCGGTGACGTCTTGTAGGGCAGAAACACACTCCGTGGCATTAGCACAGTATATACAAAGGCACACTTCTTGGTGTGGTGCAAGAAGAACCAACTTCGGTCTCAGTGAATAAAACTTTGAGAGCCCAATAGACGTGTTCGGATTAGCTTCTCTAAAGAGACGGTAAGCCTCTCGCACCAAAGGGGTCATAAATCTTTTCGAAACAAGCTCATTTTTTTCTGTCAATGATAACAGATACTACATCTTTTTTGTTGGGACTCTGCTGAGAGCAGCTATACTGATCTTTGAAGTAGTAAGCCATAGCTGCCTGGACGTCCATTGGGTTTAGCCGTGTCCTTTTTACCGCATTTGGTGCTAACCATATCCAGTATTTTGCGCGCCAGCATCGGGATCTGTATATCATGTAAGCTGACAAGTTTGGTATAAGCGCTTGGAGTTTTTGGCACTGTATATCGCTCGGCAACAGTGTCAACAAACGCATGCACTCTTGATACGAAGAACACGCTTCATAGGCTTGCTTGAAGTTCTTGAACCACTGGGCACACACACTGCATTTTAGATCTGATGGTTGAAAGTGGTGGTTACACACGTTACGATGGCACATCACGGTTACTGTAGAATTGCTGCTAAGTTGTCTTGGCTCTGCATGAACTTTGCTATTTTGTGCATGAAGCTTCTCCAGTTGCATATGTGACAATGCTTCAGGCGTGTTTACGCACCGCTCTTGACTTTTGCCTTTTTCTTCTTCTGGCAAAAACTCATCAGCTGTTTCAGCTGAGAAGCCATTAGACGAAGACAGCATATCTCTGAGGCGTCTGAAGCAGTTCTGGCAGACATGGTCGTTGTTATGTGCATGGCGGGCAGCTTTCGGCAAAAGCTTCTGGAGGGCAAACAGGCCGATATCTTCGACCTTGTGGAAGTTTCTTTGAAAGGTATTTTCTTTTTATGCAACATGAGGTAATCTGAACAAAAAACTCTATCCCGGCTGAAGTGGTCAGCCATCGCCACGCTCCTTGAGGCTCAAATTACTGGCAATGCAACTATGCGTAAAACTAGCAGCACGAAAGTGATCTATCTGTCGTCTGTTCCTATGTCTCTCACTTTTAATGAGAGCAGACGTAAAACAGCGTGCGCAAGTATCCGCAGTGCGAACGCAAAACTGAAGTATAGTACATTAAAATGAATTTCACAATGTTTTTGTCGATGAAATTACGGGAGGCATAATCTTTGTCCCTGCTTTGAACCATATGATCTGAAGCATTGCCTCCGAGATGTGGCGCACAGCAATTCATCTGTAGAGCATACGACGGATGACAACTTGCCCTAAAGCGTGTTCTTCAGTCTAATGCGGTAGTCTCTGTGCCCCAAATGATAAAAATTTTATATGAATCATTTATGAACTCATTAAACATTCAGTTCTCTTACCCAACGTGTTGCAAACACATGGCCATCACAGCAGCTCCATCTGTGTGTCAGTAATGGAGAGGCACCACATATTAGAAGTCTCAGTGCTCTACGTATAAGAGTGAATTCAGATACTGTAGAATATTGTGTTCAAAGTAGTTACTTCTATCTGCTAAAACAGCCGTTCTTCACCAAAGGCGGTCATGTTTGCTCGCGTTTGAAGCTTATTGCCGCTTTTCCGTTCCGATTTCTAGATTTCTCAACTTATCAGCACATTTTCGAAAAGTTCTGATTTGTACCACGAATATTGTCGCCAAAAACAAAATAATGCAGCATGTTTTTTTATATTACTGTATGATGGCCTTCGGTTGTCTATTTACGAGATTTTACGAAAAATCGAAGATGGAGTTTTTTTATCATTCAAATTTCGGTGGAGTACACTTGTGCCAATATGAGAACTTTGAGGCAATATATAAAAATTTGCATTTGCCCTACGGCAGCAATAATTTATGTACCTAATGAACACATTATATCCTTAAAACGTGTCAAGTTTGAAAATGCTGCTTGCATTACTTTCGGAAAAAAAAAATGGGGAATACGTAACTTATTTTAAAATGTCGCAAAATTAGACATTTTTAAAAGCTATTTTCTTAAGGTCTACAAACTTGAAACCGTGGGAATTCATTCTTCATTAGCTAAACATACATTTCAGGTAAAAAATATCTTCCTTGAAACAAAAATATTTGTCTTTTTATAGCATCTGTAATTTTCAAAAATGGCAGGTGACGAAATTGGTGCCTCCGTGTTGGTGAAGTTTAATATTTTTTTTCTCGTAAGTTATGCCGTTAATCATAAAACAAAGTTGACTTTCGGGCTACCTGGTGAGAGATGCACAAAATATAAAATACGCAATGAAATCTAAAATATCAACTTTTGGACCCGTGTCGATCTCTCGTGGAATCACCCATATATATTCTAAAGTAACCCAATATATATGTTTTGCTAAAATGTCCTTGTATGTCGCTCGAAGCAGCCTGTGTTGGAATCAGCATGGCAGAGCCTGAATGTATATTTTCTTGCTCATCTTTTATATCAGATGTATGACAGCGCAAGTAAGAAGTTCTTTGATGTACCACCCAAAGACCAACTTCTTGGACGGGAGGTGAGAACTTGTGGAAGTTTGTCTTCCTAAAATCTCGGAGATCTGCCATTTTGAGCAGAAAAATAGAAAGAAATGATAATAATTGGGCAGCCTGATGATGAATGCCAGCATTTAATTATCTCTGTTTACAAAAATTGAGGCCACATAGTGTGTAGATGTACAGTCGCGCTCAATACGAGTTGAAACGCATTGTCTGTACTGAAAATAATGCCAACACTGCAAAGTGGCACCTATATGAAAAAAAAAATTGGTGATTTAAGCACTCTCAATTTGTGGTACCTTCTGAACCAATTTAGCGTTTGTCGGTGCAGTTGTCCAGGTTTGGGGTCAGCTTAACCACAGCCAGCGTGTTCCAACTCGTATTGAGCGTGACTACACATTAGACACTGCACCGTAAGTGCTCTGTGCTGTGCCATTAACGGCACCGGAAAGTCAGATGGCTCTTTCACCACTGACTTTCTGCACAGCACAAGCAAAGCACTACGACGAACTCCCCTCGAATGCCTTAATGAATCCCGGACTCTTTTGCTGATCCCACTAAAGGAGGAATGTACCAATTGAAATTTCTTCAATGCTGATAGCAAAGCTGGCATTTTCTCTGAACTTTGATCTTACGTGCTTACCCTGGTTCCTCGGCCAAAAACTTTTTTCCCCCCAGAAAATTGGTGAAAAGATGTCAAGGCCCAGGCTCAGGACCCTTGAAGCCTTCGCTGGCTGTGGTGGTACGTTTGAATTGAGCTTGTTTGTGGCTTGGCTTTACTGGCCTTGTGTGTGTGTGTGTGTGTGTGTGTGTGTGTGTGTGTGTGCGTGTGCGCGTGCGTGCGCGTGCGTGCGTGTGTGTGTGCGTGCGTGTGCGCGTGCATGCGCGCGTGTGTGTGTGTGTGTGTGTGTGTGTTCATTCATCTGAGCATGATGTGGTTGGAGATGGTGTGGTCCTCTATGTTGGTTTATGCTACAGGCAAAAATGTGGCCAACTTCAAACACTGATTCACCTTCTAATAGAAGCCACAAAGTGTCATAATGCTTATCATTAAAGCTTAACATGCTGGAGACTGATATTTTCAATGAGACATAAAATTGGCATTTATACCATGGTAAACTATACCTCGCAGCGTGCTCATTCAAATGTGCAAAGTAATGGGGCCGGCAGGCATACGGTGCATTCTTTATCGCAGTCGAAACCGATCGGGGCTGTTTTTTAATTATGATTGGCTCCTTTGTAGAAGCTGTAAAACACAGTCAGCCATCAAAAATTTTTGTCCCTCTGTCGCTCAATGGCAATTGAAAGTGCACCAGTGTGACAAGTGTAGGAAATTCACACAGTAAAGAGTGGCAGATAAATATTACGATCATGCCACAGAAAAACTTGTGCTCATGCCAAATGTTATCGAGCTGCAACTCTGAATAAGAAAGAAAAAGTAGACAACCACCCGGTTGCTGCACTGGCCACAAGGAAATTCGTACGAATTGCCTTGCGGCTTCTAGCCACAAACGGGTGGTTGTCTACTTTCCCTTTCTTAACCCTTCTGCCACCTTGCGGGTCTCTGCAAAACTCATTTGTAAACCTGAATAAGGTACGCAAGTGCATGCGTGTCTCTTGTGCTTGCCTCCAATCCCATGAAAAAGGTTGCAGCTGCATGCAGCTTTAAAGGGGCCGTGCAACACTTTTTGAGCTTGGGCAGAAAACAGTGCCGATCGGTAATAGAGGCCCCCGAGAACACGTGAGCCAAATATAGCACAGCTTGTGACTTGAAATTCACTAGGAATTTCAAAAAGTCAGCTATAAATTGCTTTTCCGCAAATTACGGAAGAAGCTCCAAAATCACTTGTCACAGCGATTCCATCAGCCATTGGCTGATTAGAACATGGCACACTTGGTCGCTACAAGGATCGTAATGAGAGGCCATGACTTTTCCATGCGTGTGCGCGTGATCGCACTGAAAAAGTTGCATATTCAAAGAAAAAGAAAGAAAAAAGTGGTCAAAGTCACAGGCGCACAAGACTTTTTTTTTTTTTGCCCGTGCCATTCCTCCCTGCTTAGCGTCCAGTGCTTTCGTCGGGAATGGAGAAGGGAGAATGTCGTTGCAGCGTGCAAAACATTTTTGTAACTCTGTTCGTACTGGATGGATTCTAAACGTTTTTGCGGCGGTAAATTCGTGAGGCAATCAGCTTTTTTAGTGAATCCATTCCATGGCTATTTGAAAAAGTGTTGCAGGGCCTCTTTAAGCATGCTGTGTTGTTTCCCACAAAGCGCAGAAGCCGTTTACGTCGTGCTTCATTGAGTTGTGTGTAGTAAACAAGAATGTAAATTTTTGCATGCTTGTTATGTTAACTGTGGCTCGTTTTTAGATGCAAACCTACAATGAATGAATTTGCACACATTTTGTGCAGCAAAAAAAGTTTCTTTTGGTGCAAGCATGTGCTAAAGCCCACTTCATACTTGGTTTCAATACGACAAGAGATGGTTTGTTACCTTTTGCAAAAGCAGCATGCCCAGCCCCCTGTCTTCTAATCGGAGGCCATCGCACGATTCCAGTAGTCAAGGTGTTGTGCAAGGCATTATGAGCGATGTGAAACTATTTCAGAGCAGTTATTTAGCACTTTGTACAGTCAGTAACAAAGCCACCCCAGTATTTTATGGATTTAATTTAAATGAGGCCCAATAATAAATTAATTTTAAAAATTGGCGCCAAAATCTGCATGTTACACTGCAAATGTTGTCGAAAGACGATAGCCTTGCATCTGGACAGAGTGAACAAAACGTTTATTTGATGTTCTGCGCAAGAAAATCGGTGAATGGTATTCTGGAGGCGCTGCGTTAGAGTGTTTCGAGCATGCAGCGGAGGCGAACAAACGCATCAAGTCACGTCACACGTGAGACATTAGCGCTGTCTGCCAGTTATCTTGGAAAGCGAAGCGCGTGGCGTGCACGCCCGTCTCGAAGGGGATAAGGTATAGAATGCAAGGCGACGAGTAGGGGCCACCACCGTGTTGTCTTAGCAAAGCGTTGCAAACACTTGCCTTTTCGTGCAAGCGTTGCATCGTCAGCACAGCATGATAAGCACTACGGTCCTTAGAAATACTTATGTATGCCTTTTCTAGTAAAAAGACATACATACAGAATATTGACGTGTTGTTATGGTGCCTTATATATGTGTAATAATTGCTTTTTAATTGACAATCGCACAAGTATGAACGCTAAAATTTTGAGCAATATTGGTGGGCACTGCGGATAGGGTCGGCCGTTTGGGGGTGTCGTTTGATGCCGTTTGAGGCATCGTTAAGGGTGGAAAAACAGACAAATGTATATATAGACAGACCGAAATTTTTACGTCGAAGGTCCCCAAGAAAGACCATCGTCTTTGAAAGAGATGCGAAATCAGCTGCTGGCTGTACGGGAGAGGCCTGGCGGAGCAGACCAACCTTGCATCCTTTCCTGTCACAAAGATGCCTCCACACAGCAGTGCCACAATTTGTCCTCATTCCCAATATTCAATTGTTTTTGTTGTGTACACTCAAATCTCGATATAACAAACATGGATGTAAAAAATATCTGTTATAACGAAGTAAATGAAAATAGTCTTGGGATAGATGTAGTGTTAGAAATATACCTTTATAATGTATTTTGGATGTAGCGAACATACTTTTATCTAATATGCAACTTTGTTATAATGAGATCTGAGTGTAACACATAGTTTTTAAACTGCCGAATATTTTATGTGCCATCTCAGGAGCAAGTTCTTTCCTAAACTGACATAATTGCAGAGTAAATCAGCATTTTTATTGGCAAGCTCACGCAAAAGGCCTTGTAACAATACCACAGTAATCTGGAATCAGGACTGTACACACTCCAACAAAAGTCGGTGTTATCAACCAACTGAATAAAAGTTATGAAATGTTGAACATTTGCAAGTGAGTCATTGTCAAGCTTGAATTCCACTCATGAATGTTAAACATACTATTCATTTCTACATTTATTCAAAGTGTGACTACCATTCTTTTCCTTGATGGATATTGAAAGTGATTAAGAAATAGGAAACTTCTTTTAAAATTTTAAAAGCTATGTCCTCTTCCCCCCTCCCCACCAAAAGGAACTGTCTGCCACTCGAAAAAATTTTTTTGATTGTGATGCAAATGAAAAGACTGTTCATCACATCGGCGGTAATGAGCATGCTTTTGTCCCATAGAAAAAAGAAGTTATAAGTTTAACTTTGATGTTGTGAGTGACAAAATATGACTGCTAGCGTCACCCAACAGTGATGTGGTCAATCTACTGGTAGGACATCAAATCCTTGCTGGTAGACTTTCTTTTGCTCAAACACAAACATGTATAGCTTTAAATTGTATTTTACACACTTGAGGCAGCCTTAAGTTGCGTCAGAGACTAACTTTTGCCTTTTCCTCTCGCGTGTTCAAGAAGGTGCCCAGTGGCGCTGCCGGTAGTGTGTTCGCCTGCCTGCAAATAGCAGAGAAACGCGGACACGACGTTTGCCGCCGCTCATAAGAACATCATAAAAGTGTGTGCGTGCCTTAAACAACCGCTAAGGTATTTGTTTTATTAATAAACGAAACTTGATGAAGCCTGAAGAAACCACACACGGTTTCAGTTTTTGACTTTCACTTGCTGTGAAATT